TTGATGAATATATTGATGAATATAGTCATCATTACTGTGGCTTCCACCTCACACACACCGCGGGGGGCGGTAGCGAGCCGACCGAGGGCATTTTAAAAGGTGTCATCGTTTTTATTGGAAAAAGTTGTGGTTGGAGGGTCAAACCACAGCGGGGGGCGCGGCGGAAGGGTCCGGTCATGTTTTACGAGGTGAGTTATGAACCGTGTCCCTCTGTTGTTGTTGTTGTTGTTGTTGTTGCTGCGTTACGGGGCTGGGAGATTTCGCGCTTGACTCCACTTTCTCCGGTGCTGAGTGAGAGAGACGAGCCGCGGTAAACCTCATCTTTCTCGGTAACGTTAGCTGCGAGCTCGGCGGGGTTGTTCAGATAGTTTCACGTCGAGTTTAGAAGAGCTCGGCCGTGTCGGTGACTGCGGGTTTCTGAATGAAACTGACGCCGCTCTACGTTAACGTCTCCGGTAACCCACCGTCGTTAGCTGAGGTCAGCTAGCACCGTAAACGGTAGTTAACGTAGTCAGCGCCGGTTTAACTAACGTTAGACCTGCAGCTAGTTAACCAACCATCCCCATGGAAACCAAACAACTAGTTAACGTTACCTTTGGTTGCTGTGGCGATCCTTAACGAGGTTAGTTGTCAGCACATAGCTGCTCGTCGAGGGGAGAAACTAAAACGCAGCGTTAGCTCGGTGAGGAGAGGAACAGCTGTCTGCTCGACTGGTGAGTTGGTTCAGTACGGTCGTGAACTGTCTGTGAGCCACCGGCACCGGCACCGTGCGGACGGGACAGGGCGGGTCAACAACCGGGAACCGTTAAATTCTTCTTCTTCTTCTCTCTGCGCTGCTGACTCTTCCTCGACCGGAGTTTGTGACGGAGGCTCGACGTGTGTCCGGTGTGTCGCTGCCCTCCACCGGTAGAGAGCGGACCTGCACTCAATGTGAGGGGAAAAGGGATTTATCAAGTCATTATAATGAGAGACCTTCATCAAAATAAAACAATTAAATTAGAACAGGCCTGTGTGTTGTTTCCTCATTAGTGAATGTGACAATGGACCAAATGGATGCTGTCATTGAAGACTACTTTAGACATTCATGATTCACAAATCGGGAGTTTTGAGCGGTTTTGGAGGATCACATGATATTAAACTAAGTCTCCGGACCCGAGAGAGGAAGCTACAAAAGAATCAGCTCTGGCAGAGAAGAAATAAGACAGATGTAGCTGAAGTAGCATCCTTCATTGAGCAGTAGTTACAAGGAACCGTGTCTGATGGATGGGACCAGTGTACGGTGTTACGGTACTGAGAACTATCTAACCACACTTTATGTGGACATCTACTGTTTTCAGTCACAGCGTCTATTAAATAACCTGCGGTAATACGAGGCTCATTGTTGGTTTTGTATGCTTCCAGCCATATCATTTTTCTTCTATGCAACCACTGATAAACAACACCACAATCTTAAACTCATTACTATTTCATTTCTGTCAGCACATACTGTGGAATATGTTTACATTTACTTTGTATATAGGCTCTTATTATCTTATTATATCTCTCCTACCTATACATACATTTCTATTCTATATATTGTGTTAGATATTGTAGTATAAGTATTATTTATATTCTTTAACATGTGTGAGTCGAACAACTGTAACAAACAAATTTCCCCCGGGGATCAAAAAGGTATATTTGATTCTGATAATACATTTCTCAATACTCTTTTGAAAAGTAGTGTAATTACTTTACTTATTACTCCCTGCCAGCAGTAATTAGTTACACTACTAGTTACTTATTATTACTTTTCTGCTACTCTACAGAAAATTGGTGATTGTTTCCTTTCTCCACAAAATTCTTTTAAAATAATTAAAATCCAGTTTTGTTTGTTAAAGTCAAAGTAATTTAAATGTTTCCATCAAACTCACATCAGTGGAGGGTGACAACAAAAGTAATATTGTAACTAATATTGTAACTGTAATATTATTACTGAAATGTATGAGTAATTAGTTACACTACTAGTTACTGAGAAAAGTAATATTATTACTAGTAATGAGTTACTGCTGGTAGAAGTATAACAATGTCAGTTTTACTTTATCAGTGAAAGTCCTGCATTCAAAGAGCGTTAAACAAAATACACAACAATATTACTTAAGTACAAACGTCTCAGTGTAGTCAGGAAAATGTATTCAAGTATTAATTATGTATTAAAAGTACTCAAATATTGCCCCTGTGAAAGTTATACTGTTCTATCATTACATTATCATTACTCAAACTTTATTGTTGACGTCGGTTGAGGTGGAGGTAATATTTAACTATTTCATCCACTAATGATTATTGATTTATTATTGATTAATCTGCTGATTACTTTTAGTTCGGTTTGTAAAAAGAAAAAT